ACATAAAAACAGACGGACAGACAGACAGACAGACAGACAGACGGAGAGACGGAGAGACCTGCACAGAGATAGGCAGACGAGTGAGCGACTAGGTACAGGAGAGGTGGTTGGCAGCGTGGTAGTGGTGGGTGGTGAGAGACAGACAGACAGACGGGCAGACAGACAGACAGAGACAGACGGAGAGGCTTGCACATAGATAGGCAGACGAGTGGGCGTCTAGGTCCGGGAGAGGTGGTTAGTGACGTGGTGGTGGTAGGTGGTTAGGGGCCCAGATGCAATGGGAGAGCAGAGAGATCTACCCACCTCATGTACCGCACACATCCCTACTTACAGCACCTTCCCTGAAACTTCTGTACAAATCAGCAAGAACAGTTGGTTACCCACCCATACAAAGCATGTCGCACCGTGTAAAACTTACTAAAAATAGTAAACTTACTAAAAATACTACGCATCATCTACTCTCTTGAGACCAAAGCAAGGGCAATACGAAGATCTTTCGGTGTGAGTCTAGCATACATTCTGTCACAGACGCCAATCCCATCTCCCAATCCACCGTCCATCGCGTCTCTGCCAACGGCTGGTGCTACCCCCTCTAAATCCCCCCCTTCTAAAACTCCCCCGTCAAGTGCCCCCCCCCACAAGGTTATCTCTCTGGCACTGGGAGGGAGCCCCTCCAGCAGATTAGCGCACCATTCATTTCCCCATTTCTTTCGCTTTATTTTCCGGGCGGGTCCTTGCCCTTCTCCCCCTTTCGCGGTGAATAATTGCGTTACGATGTCTCTTTCGGTTTCCACGGCCGGTGCCCCTCCTTTGCTTCCCCCCCCTCCCACTTTTCCACCCCCTTTACTAAAACCCGCTGAACCCGGCACTCCACCCCGAACGTTCACACAAATCGACCCGGGGCCTTCACAGTACCTTCGCATCAGTGCGTGGAAGATGCGCGGAATCTTCTTAAACTTGCGTGCGAGAGACACACCCGTCACAATTCCGTCCTCCACGTGCTCGAAGGCCGTGCAAAGCTCCGTGAGAGTTTTGCGCGCCTCGCCAGCGCTCTCTCCTCCTGAAAAACCGAAAGTGTGGAATGCAAAAAAATAAAGAACAGTCGAGTTAACAACAACAAAAAAAAAAAAAAAAAAAAAGCCCTACGGAACTTCATGGTGGAATTGGGTTGGTACTACTAGATATGATTTGATACCAAGCCACTTCTTTTTCCTAGCAATGGAAGACGGGACGAGGACTCTCTCTCTCTCTCTGTCTCTCTCTGTCTCTCTCTCTCTCTGTCTCTCTGTCTTTTGACAATCGGACCAGTTTTGTTCCCATCCTGTATTCTATCTAACCTTGGCCATCGCTCCACAGATCACCAAATGTGCAAAATGAGAATGAATCTGCTGCTAGGACATGGGAAGATACATTGCCATATTTGTTGTCTTTTCTGCATGTGGAGAGTAGTGAAGCGACGCCCCTTGCCTGGCGTTGAGAAAAAATCATTACGCGTTGTGAACTGGGATTGAAATATTTCTAAATCTGAAGCAGACAGTCGTGCTAGTCTAACATACATGTCACTAAGAGGGGACATGGGACCAGGAGTCTCCTTCTCTCCCCTCCCCCCCCTCCCCCCTCCCCCC